TAATTAGCTTAATAAGCTACCTGTTCCTAGCTGGACCTGAATCTTGGACTTGGCTTGCGTTTGGCTCCTGTTGACCGGGGAAGGTTTTAGCCTAAATCATAAAACTGCATTTTCATATATCAACTCACTTGCACTAATACTCTCTGAAGGAAATGCCCTTTCTTTATAATTAAATTAAGGCAATGTAGCCCAGTTCTGTGTTAGAGCTATGATCTAATGTAAACAATTGATGCTGAGCCTTATCTAATTTAATATATTTTACCCTAGTTTCCATCCTTCCCACCTCCTTTTTCCCTTTTAAATAAAAAAAAAATACCAATCTATGTTTTATTTTGCTATTTTTTGTTGTAGTTGGTTGGATCATAACTGTCATAATTTCAACAAATCCTAAGAGAGTTTCAGCAAGTATTAGACTCAATATAAGTTAGCACAGCTTTAGTGTTCCACAAATCCCAGTACTTATGTCTTTTTACTGTACAGTTATCTATTTTAGTTATATATAGCATTTAGAGTATAGATTGTTTAATTGCTTTTAATCCCTGTACTTCATTAATTTTAAGTTAATAATTTTACTTTTACTTTATTTTATTCTATTATTTTTCTTAATTTCTACTTTAGAATGACTTAGGTCAGTGGTGGCGAACCTATGGCACGGGTGCCAGAGGCGGCACTCAGAGCTCTCTCTGTGAGCATGCGCGCTGTCGCCCCAGTCCTAGGCCTTCAGCTGGGTTTTATAAAACTTTTTCGCTTTAGGTCTCTGCCGCCATGTGCAAAAAAAAAAAAGGTTCAATCAATCAGTCAATTTCAACTTCTTGCAGGAAAAAAAAAAAGATCTTGCAAAGTTGGAATTGATTGATTGAACTTTTTAGTCCCACCCAGTCTGCCGTTACCACCACAGCCATGCCTATCCAATGGGCCATACACCCAGCCAATGGCCACACCCACCTGGCACCCGACGATGCATAAATGGGTTTTGGGTTGCAGTTTGGGCACTCGGTCTCTAAAAGGTTCGCCATCACTGACTTAGGTAAACAGTTTTATGCAAAATATTACAATTTTGCATACAATACAAAGTAAACAATTAAATGAAATCAATTGAAACAACAATTAAATAGCACTTAGTCTTATATACCACTTCACAGTGCTTTACAGCCCTCTCTAAGCAGTTTACAGAGTCCGCATATGGCCCCCAACAATCTGGGTCTTCATTTTACCAACCTCGGAAGGATGGATGGCTGAGTAAACCTTGAGCCAATGAGAATCGAACTGACAAACTGCAGGCAATGGGCAGTCAGCTGAATTAGCCTGAAAGTACTGCATTCTAACCACTATGTGGTTCATAAGTTTAGTGCTGTATCTTATCAGAGATCTTTCGGTGACCAGCTCAAACAAAAATCTGCTAGGAGTGCCTTTCAAGTGTGTACATATAGGTATTCTACTGCCTTTCTACCCACTTTTCCTCATAGCATTCTTCCCATCATTTTCCATACTGGTTCACTTCAAAATCAGCAAACTATTTCAAGTTCTTTTTTAAAGTCAGCAAACACAATCATGGATTATGTTAGAAGTTTTAAAATAAAGTTTATACCACCATTGCAATTTTGTATTTACAACCAATAGTAAGTTTAATTGAACTAAGTAGGTTGCTCTTTTGGCCAGACTTGCCTACAATTATTTTTCACCTTTTACCTTTTGGTGATACATAATACAAATAATATATTAGCATGAGTAAAAAAAAAACAGACAAATCTTTCTATCCTTATTTATATTCCACCTCTCATTCAGGAGTCAACGTGGCACATATTTTACACTCCCTGTTTTTTCCCACAGCAGTCCTCTGAGGTAGATTGGATTGAGACAATGTGACATTCCCACAGAGCTCAAATTAACTTCCATGGCTGAGGGTGGACTACAACCCGAATCTCTCCATTCCTAGACTAACATTTTCAGTGCTCCACACATTGACTCCAACATTACATTATTAACTTCTATTTTCTGTTCTTTTTCCTCTCCACTCTTTGTTCAGACTCCAAGATATTTAACAAATACGTAATAGAAACAAAGTATTATGAGGGGTTCAGGATCATTTACTGGGTTTTAGTTATATATTACCCTGTTTTGCTAATATTACAAGTTCTGCCTGTGCATCTATTTTATGTATATTTATTCATTTTTTACTCTATGGGTAATCCTCAACTTACAACCATTTGTTTAGCAACTGTTTGGCATTACAACAGCACTGAAAAAATGATTTACAGCCAGTTCTCCCACATACGACCATCGCAGCATCTCTATGTTCTCATGATCAAAATTTGGGCGCTCGGCAACCTGACTATATTTATGATGGCTGCAGCCCCCCGGGGTCATGTGACCACCATTTGTGATCTTCCCAGTGGCTTCCGATAAGCAAAGTCAATGAGGAAAGCCAGATTTGTTTAATGACTGCTTGATTTACTCAGCTGTAATGTGATTAAGTGATTCACTTAACAACAGTGGCAAAAAAGGTCATAATATTGGCCATCATTTAAGCCTTGCTTAGCAATAGAAATTCTGATCCCAATTGTGTTTGTAAGTCAAGAACTACTTGTATAGCTACCAGAAAGTCCTTTCAAAAGAAAGGTATTCAGCAGGGGTCTTCAAACTTGGCCCTTTTATGACGTGTATTTCAACTCCCAGAATTCCTCAGCCAATGTACTGGCTGAAGAATTCTGGGAGTTGAAGTACACAAGTCATAAAAGGGCCAAGTTTGAAGACTCCTGGTATTCAGTGTATTCAGCTACAAGTAAGTATTTCCCAATTAGAGTCTTATTGAGGAAAATAGATTTAACAGTACTATGGAAACTGCTTTAATTTCCCTCATCTGTTGCCCAAGGCAAGCCCAAGTTTAAAAATACATGGACTTCTGTAAAAGTCAAGGTAGACGTTAAATGCTTCTGGAAAACACCTGTTCTATGAGATTGCAAGCATTACTTATCGCTTTTGCAATTGTTCTTAAACATAGTGAAACATGATCTTAAAAAAAAATTAGGGAAGAAGTGACCTGGCATCAGGTACACAGGAGAAAGCAAAAAAAAAAAAAAATTATGATCAACCAGTTTCCTTAAGGAAAGGATATTCTTTTGTTGCTAATGTATTGTGTTTTGTTCATTGGTAAAACACTATTTAAATACTTCCCACAAATTTAAGACAATTACACCAGTGGAAAGAAATTAAAATCAACATTTTGAAATTAATAACACAGTATCTCTGCATTACTTCACTATAACTGCCTCTCAGAATGGTAACTAAATTTAAGCATTTGGCAACTGTAGAGAATTACTTGTATTTTGAAGCAAGAATACCACAAGGTTGTTCTATAATGTTCCAGATTCACATTTCAAACTGGAACTAGATTTTTTTTTTTAAGTGATTACTTCTCTTTCCTCAAATACAAAGTAAAGACCTTTCATTAGCAATCAGCACTAGGCTTTCCAACCTGCTTTTAGTGCGTGGGATGTTTTTGAAATTGTAACAGCTGTTGTACTTGCCAGGATTGTACTCAGTGACTCTTGCCTATAGGCTACTACTTATTGAGAATTTTTCTCCCTGATAATACCTTTGTGCACCTGACATTAGCCTGAGGCCCTAAGCAATTTTTATTCTCCAAGCTTCCAGAAAAAAATAGAAATTATTAGATTGTTAACAATAATAGAGCTCAAGGCAGCTTACATGGGAATGTCATGTCATTAATGTAGGGGTGTCAAACTGCCGGCCCACAGGCCAGATACATCATAACAAAACTGCACCCACCCCATTGTGGAAAAAGTCACAATACATCAGTGGTTCTCAACCTTTCTAATGCCGTGACCCCATAATACAGTTCCCCGTGTTGTGGTGACCCCAGGGGTGTGGCCAAGTGGGTGTGGCCACCAATAAGAGGGAGTAGGACACCTAAGGAAAAGGGAAAAAAATGGCGGACAGCGTGGTTTGGCGACCCCCGTGAAATGGTCATTCGACCCCAAATGGGGTCCCGACCCACAGGTTGAGAACCACTGCAATACATCATGACACATCACATGACATTGCGAGTTTGACACCCCTGCATTAACGTATCCCGATGAGAACAACCCTATGGGGTAGATTAGGCTGAGACATAGCAACTGACCTAAAATCAACCAGCAAATTTCTCTGGCTGAGGTTCCCCAGTTCTAGAACATTTTAACATTTTAACTTTTCCACTCTCTGAAAGATCCAACATAGTCAAACAGCTCAACAAGATACATATGAATAAATAAAATAGATGTCACCAACACAATTCCATGATTCAGAGAGAGGTGAAGACTTGAGTTTCATTTCTACCTATGTTGTGATTGTTATTTTGGTGAATACTGTGGCTTTCTATCAGTTGCACAGCATTACTAAAACGCTATCTCTCCGATTTTCACACGGCTGTTTTCCTTGCATCTTATCTAACCCGTTCTCCAGCTATATAGTCAGATGGATACTGTTCTTAGGCCTAAATCCTGAAAGCTCTGAATGAAAGCCAGCTTGCTTAAGGTCTGAACTTCAGGAGAAGCATAACCGGTGGAGGGCTACATCGATTTGTGGGGGTGCCACGTGAAGCAGGTAGCAAACTGGAAGCCTGCGGAGTCGCGACGCTGCAGGCAAAGGGCTGGCAACCCAGCCCTGGCTGTGGATGCCCATGCCGTCAAGGATTAGCCATCTCTCATGAACCAAAGAAACAGGGTTTCTGAACCATCGCCAGCTCTTCTCCAATCGAATTGTTATGTGTCCCCGAACCCAACACCTCAGGGCGGCGGCGAAAGAGATCCCGTTGCGACCCCGCAGCCGAAAGTGCTCCCCGCCGACGCCACCCCGCGGTTTGCTTCTGGTAAAATGTCCTGACCGACCAGCCCTCCTCCAAAGCCCCCCTCGAAAGGCCTTTTCCCCGTCCCCACCTGCCCCGGACGCCTCTGCTGTAAAGCAATGAGATGGGCCGACCTGTTTCGCAAGCCGCTCACCTGAGTCTTCGTGGTGAGCTGGATCACCGCCTTCCTGAAGTTGAGCTTGGAGTCGGCGTTACCCATCCTCCCGTAACCAGGATCCCGGTCCGCTTCCCTGCTCCCCGCCTTGCTCGCTCTCCTTTGCTTGCTCGCTCGCTCGCTCGCCGGCGATCGCTTACTGCGGCGGTGCCCTCCTCTTCCTTCTCTGCCGCCACCGTCCCGCTAATCTCCCTCGTCCTCGCCCCCTCTGCCGGACGCGGTAGGCTCCATCAGCGCCGCTCCGTCCACCTGCTCCCTGCAGGCTAGCTGGTCTCCTCCCGCTTGTCAAAGGCAGCTGAGGCTATTCCCGGCGCTGAGCCCGCCTTTCCTGAGCGTCAGAGGCGCGGCTCCGCCTCGCTTTCGCTCAGTTACACGACAGCCGTCTCCTTCCCTCGCCCCGGCTTCAGCGAGCGGCCGGCTGGTTCCTCCTTGGTGACTCCCCAGGGTCGCTGAGTCGAGCGCTGTTTCTCCACCTTCCCCGCCGGCGAAGGCGTCTCTTCGTCTGCCAACGCCGGACGAGTAGCCTACTGCCGCCTCGTCCGAATCCGGCCCCCACCCGTCAGTGATTCGGCCTGTCGCTTTTCCCCCTCGCTGCCTGCCTCTCCGGGGCTCCAGATAGTCGGAAATCCGTGTTTAAAGCGAGTCAGCTTAGGTCGGCCTGAGGAGGAATGCAGTTCTACAAGGTCCCTTCTTCCCGACATTTTTCTTGGCTGCTTGCCCTTGAAATAGACCCTTAGGTATTTCCTCCTTTTAGGCACACTTGTTTTGTACCTTTAATCATGCCCATTCACTGAGGTTTTATACCCCATCTCTTGCCCTTCTCTCCTCCCCCTCTCCTCCCATTCTTCACAGCCACCACCAACCTGTGAGGTAGAGAAGAAGGGCTGAGAGAAGGTGACAACCCCAAAAGTGATCTTGCAGTGCTGGGAGTGGCTTTGAACCCAGGTCTCTGCAGGGCCAGTCCAAACCTATTTACCTTGGGTTTTTTTTTAATTGATGATACCTTTCTATTCACTCTGACTCCATAAAGTTTATCCAGAGTGGGTCAATAATAGGGCCTCAGTAATTTACAAGAGAGTCTCTCGCATACAAACAAGCATATTTTTTTTTGTATTTGACAATAACAATACTGTGTGGCAATAAAGTAACTCAGTTTGCCTGCCTTAATTATGTTCAAAATTTGCCACGGAAGACAGCTTTCCCACTGTACCTCAGTGGAAGCTAAGTCTGTAAAATGATCCCTCACTTCCTTTCATTAGCCTCTCCTTGACATGATTTATTTATTGCTTCATGCTTTCTCCCTCCCAGCAGCACAATAGTCAATGAGGACACTTTAAAACCTTATTCTCCTTTATAATTAATTCTTCATGTGCTTACACATAATCTGAATTGTTGACATGAAGTTATGCTTTTCCCCTTTTAAATGTTTACATGCTAATTATTAAAGGTCATATCTTTAAGTGTAAACTTATATTAGCAACTTGATTGCTAATGTATGTATGTATATATGTATGTATGTATATATACATGTATGTATATATGTATGTATGTATATGTGTATGTGTGTGCATGTGTGTGTATGTGTGTGGTCCTACTGCAGTATATTAAATTAAATATGGTAATTTATAACTTGCCTTTTCTCTACAAAAGTACTAAAAGTGGCTAAAAATAATATGCAAATAAATTAACAATGTTAAATATTAAAACTCATCAATTAAAAATCTCATTTAATAAAATCACATCAAGCAGAAATGAATGGCAGCCCTTCCCAATTTGAAATTTTTATTAGTAATAAGTTAGCCAAGCAAGACAGTGAAATCTTCAATAAAAATTGGTACAAGAAAGACTATAGGAATAGATTTTAGCCTTAGCTTTCCTGATGGTGACTTTAGCTTTCTTAGTCTTTGGCTTTTAGTGTAATGAGGAAAAAACTACCCATCTATGAAGATGGGCCAATGTGCACCTGGATCTTGCCTATGTAACAGTTATTAGCCACTTTATCAGTATGAAAATTCTTTCTTACATTGGCACCAAGAGTATGTACTCTATCCCTGTCAGACAACTGTAAGTGCCCAAGAGAATTTACTGCCTTCCTTGAACCATACAGCTAAAATCAGATGATCCCCTACCAACTAAGTCCATTAGGATTTATAATTAGCCCCAGGGACCGTTGAAACTACAAACTGTATGAATTTTGGGGGGTGTTTAAGAAATATTTTTGAGGAGTCAGTCAAGTAAGACTGTTAACATGAAATTTGCTGCCTTTGTCAAGATAAAAGCTTTTGTGGGAATTTCAGCAATTAGCTCAGGATATGTATTGGGATGGGAACCTTAATTAACCAATTCAGAAAGGAACTATCAGATAAAATCAGAGATGCACTAACTATCGTGAGACACAATGATGCATTAATTCAAATCTGCTTGGGCACACAGGGAACATGGTGATTATTTCATCTCTAATGGGTTTGTTGGACTGTATGGAATGGCATCACTAACCATTGTCATATTTTTCCTACTTCCAGGCAAGGTTTTAATGATCAGACCTCAGAAATACCTTCACTGTTATGTAAAATACTATTGGCCTAAACTTGTATCTATGGCTGAATTCACTTCCACTCAGTTGGTGCCTTTTAAAACTGCCAACAATTTGCCTGTTATCCACGTCTACTGCCTATAGCTCTTTCCAATTACAAAATCTTTGTTTTCTCTAGACAGTCAGTACTTGCTGAAAGATCAGCTACTTCATGCAAGCCTTCCTACATAAGTGATGAGTTTCAAACCTACCTATCTTTCCCCCAGAATTTCCCCTCCACAGACCAAGACAAATGCCTAGTTTGTTAAGACCATTCTCTGTGATAGCATTAATCAGATCTATGGCTTTTTATTTGCAATTTCCAGGCATATTGAAAATGCACCGTATTTTCCACTGATTCCTTCTGGTCCTAGAATGTACTCTACACATTCCCACATCTTGGTGAAGGGAAGGAAGCATTTGTAGTATAGCGTAGTTTAGACTTTTGAGTTCTTCTGGAAGGCCACCCAGACACAAGACATTTTAGGAAGATAATACACAATAATTATCTACGCTGCCTCCTTTCACAGTTCCATTCGCAAGACCTTCACAGCTGCAAGCTACCCAATTGGCTGTGCAATAAAGGTTCTGCATCTGCCAATAGTTCTGATCCTGAGCAGAAACAATGAGGTCAAAGAAAAGAGAAGACTTCTCTTTCCTCTATATCAGTGATTCTCAACCTTTCTAATGCCGTGACCCCATAATACAGTTCCCCATGTTGTGGTGACCCCCAAGTGGGTGTGGCCACCAATAAGAGGGAGTAGGACAGCTAGGGAAAAGGGAAAAAATGGCGGACAGCATGGTTTGGCGACCCCCGTGAAATGGTCATTCGACCCCAAATGGGGTCCCGACCCACAGGTTGAGAACCACTGCTCTATATCAAGGGAAGGGAGAAAAGTGGAAAATTCTGAAATAGGAAAGTTCTCGACCAAATTGCAGAGATGGAAACTCCCACTGGCTTGACTGAGGAGGCCTGAAAGGGATAAGATAGAGGCTGGAGAAGGGAACAGAGTAAAGGTTGAGGCTGGAACCAATGGTTCTCCAAGCAGAGATGGCCATTATATGTTAAGCATGCAATAACCTCTCTGCTTCAGAATCAAGTGCAATGCCAAGAATCCATTAATTCATGGGAATAAGAGAAAAAAAAATATGTTTAAAACACATGGGTGTATTTCTCACCATTATACTTGTAATCATCTATTTTGTGTAATTTTATTCTTGTCTTTATTATTTAACAATAAAGATTTTAATCTAGTCTAGAATTGTGTTTTGAAATTAAACTAAGCCATGAAGTATCTCATCTGTGAGTTATTACTGAGCCAACAAAGTTAATTTAATTTAAAATTTAACTTGGTTAAAATTACGTTTGGCACAATTTTTAAGAGAAGTTGAATGCAAGGTTTTGAGGGCACATGTGCCTCTTGGCTTTCAGTTATATATCAAAAAGCTTTTTATCTGATACCAAATATTTCTGCATTGTATTGAAGCAGCATTTGAATAAAGGTGATTTTAATACTTTCAAACACTCCCACAAACTAGGTACAGATATAATGTAGGACCATATTTGAAATGTAAATTTTATGTACCGGTATTAAAGGAAAGCAAATCATGGTCTCATGAGTGAAAAAAATCTTGTCAATGAAAATAGAAACAAAATTTGGAAAATTTGGGGAATATTTGGTTTATTGACATAATAAGATTTTGCATGCATGAATAAGTCTACTTCCATACCTCTCAGGATTAAAGCTGTTTAGCGTACTTTGAGTTAATTACACCCTATCCCCATTCACAGTAGTACTATCATGTCTGAACCCAAACTTTCTCCTTACTCATACAATGTTTTCCTCATTTCATTCCCAACCCATGAATGAAGCAGCCTACAGCTATCCTTAGTCTTTCTCCCATGATGCCAAAATATTATTCCATAACAAGTGCAAGGTGTGAAAAAAACTTTTATGCTTTATAGTACAAGCTGTTATCTTGGAGATGAAGTTAAATTATATGTTTCACATATGTTCAGAGGCATATTTTTGGGAGTTTTAGGAACCATGGATATTCCCTTCTGGTCACTAGCTAGCCTCTGTTGCATCCAATATTTTTCCCAATAATTTTCTTCCAATATTTGCTATATCCTTGACAACTTGGTGGTTTTTTTTAGTTCCTTTTGTCTTCTCCAAAAGCACAGGACAATGAACAATACCTAATTTATAAATATATCTTAATTGTTTTACAATTTTTTTCTATTTTCAACTACATCCAATCTTCAATTAAAAAAAATATTGGAAAAAAATAGAGGTTAGCTATTGACCAGAAGGGAATGGGCACATCCATGGTTCTCCAAACTCCCAAAACTCAGTCCTGGAAATTCACCAAGTTACTCTTGTGCTAGTTCAGTGGTTCTCAACCTGTGGGTCGGGACCCCATTTGGGGTCGAACGACCATTTCACGGGGGTCGCCAAACAATGCAGTCTGCCATTTTTTTCCCTATTCCTTAGCTGTGCTACTCCCTTTTATTCTATTGGCTTTGGAAAGCCAATAGAATAGACTCTCTTGAATAGAGTCTAATTCTATTGGCTTTCAAATGCCAATAGGAATTGTCCAGGCTGTCTCTGCCCTGCTGAGCCCGCCAAAAGTCCCATTTTGCAAACCGTGCTACACCAGTTGAGTAGTCCTTGACTTACGACCGGTTGAGTAGTCCTTGACTTACGACCGGTTGGGGGTTGCGGCATTAAAAAGGTTGAGAACCACTGTGCTAGTTAATCTGTCTCAGTCTAACCAATACAGGTAGTCCTCAACTTACGACCACAATTGAGCCCAAAATTTATGTTGTTAAATGAGACATTTTAAAATGAGTTTTGCCCCATTTTATGACTTTTTTGCCACAGTTGTTATGTAAACCACTGCAGTTGATATATCAGTAATCTGGTTGTTAAGTGAATCTGGCTTCCCCCATTGACTTTGCTTGTGAGAAAGTTGCAAAAGGGGATCACATGACCTTGGGTCACAGCAATGGTCACAAATACGAAATAGTTGCCAAGCATCTGAATTTTGATTACATGATCATGGGGATGCTGCCAAGGCTGTAACTGTGAAAAATAGCAGTAAACTGCATTTTTCAGTGCCGTTATAACTTTGAACAGTCACTAAATGAATTCTTGTAAGTCAAGGATTATCTCCATTGCAGGTGGCTGTTGAGATTATAAAATGAAGGAAGATCCTATGAATGCTGCCTTAAGCTCTTGGAAGAGAAGACAGAATATAAAATAAATTCAGTAGATCACAAATCATGAGAAGTAGATCCGGTCTCCAAGGACAAAAAAAAACCAAAAATCATTTGACAGAAGAATGAAGAAGTAGAACAAATTAGTCTGCATTAGAACAGTTAGAGACATCATTCTGCAATCACAGTTTACCTGAAAGTAACCAAGACCTACCTTTTGTAATTTATTGCTGATTTTTTTCTTTCCACAAAAATCCCTTTAAATAGAAAAAGACAGGTTTGCACAATGCCTTCTGTCTGATGATGCTAGGATCCAGATTCAGTCACAGCTTTTTTTCCATACAGTATTAACCTTGTGAACTCTAAAACTTCATCCTTCCATTATGTATTCAAGGTGGACAGTGAATATTTATGTTACTTATATGTGCGGGTGTAGGTCTATGCATATGTTGTATATTGTATGTTTTAAATGTGTTATATACGTGTACACTTTGAGAGGAAGCAACTGTCATTTTTAATGTGTGCCATTGTGCCCACAGGAAAAAATGACAATAAAGGTTATCTATCTATCTATCTATCTATCTATCTATCTATCTATCTATCTATCTATCTATCTATCTATCTATCTATCTATCTACCTACCTACCTACCTACCTACCTACCTACCTACCTACCTACCTATCTGCCTACCTATGTAGCTATTTATCTATTCTCTTCCTAGCTCAAGCCAAACTAGGCTTTCCCATGCCAAAAGAGATGCCATTGTTTTTGTGGCTTGTAGTAAGTAAAGGACAGAAAATTCCTTCCAGTTACACTTCAGGTTAGCTAATAAGAGGGCGGGGTTTTGTTGTTGTTTTTTGGCATCTTTGAAAGAAAAATCCTCTCAAGCAAAAAAAAAAAAACCCTCAAAAGCTTCAGTAATAAAAGGTGGTGAAAAAATGCGTTGCTCTTCTTGTTAGGGTCATATATGTATGGAGAAATAGAACCAGGATTCAGGCTAAGAGAGACTTAGCTTTTACTAAATTTCAACAAGGTATGAGGTTAAAAGCCAGGATATAAGGTTCCCAATTAGGAACACTTTCAAGCCAAATATTTGCGTATTTGGTTTAGGTAGGTTGCTTGGCACAAATATGAGGCCAAATCTCTGGGGCTAATTCTGCTGATCCTTATAATAACCCTCTATTTCCATTTTTTTAAGAAGGGAAGCAAAGGCACGGCAGCGTAGTTTTGCTGACCTGGGCCCATAGCTTGCGTTTAGATTTCTAAAAGAAAAGGGACTTCCGAGGTTTTGTGTAAACGGGAGTTCCTCCGGAAAATGAAACTCTCTAGCCCCAGATAAGATAACTCGCAACAACGACGCTCTTTTGTGTGGATGGAAAAAATACAAAAAAGTAAGCCGCTCACGCTGGGGCCACCGACAAATGCGACCCACCCATCTTATGTGTTTACTGTGTGCCATCTGTTATTTGTCTTTCGACTGTAAAAAAGAAAAATGCCCTTTTAATTTAGCCATTAGAAAACCATAGGGACTGTTTTCCAGTCGGACGGTTCTTTTAACGCGGCAAGAGCAATAGTGAAGATTTCCCCAGGGAATAACAATGGCGAATAACCCCACCAGCAAGCGGTCCCAGCCGATCTCTGGAATGGCACCGCTCGCTCTTTCTTAGACACGCGTCCTGTGCGTGTAAAAGCAAAATTCAACGAGTGGGTAAACGTCCACCCGAGGAAAATATTCCCCGCCTAGCACCGTTAGGGACTCCGCCCTTGCTCTTTAGATCCTGCCGGAATGCAAGCCAAAAATCCGCCTAGTAGCTAAAACGCGTCTAGAATTCCTCCGATGAAAGAGCGGGGGGGGGGGAGAGAAAAAGACAAGGAGGGAGGTCTATCGTCCTCCTTTCCCGCCTCCTTCCCGCTCCCCTCCTGCTTCCACGTCTTTGGCATGGATTTTCTTGCAGCAGTTCCGTGCTAGAGGTCTCCACCGAGCTGTATAAGTCGGAACTGGCTGCAAAGGAAGCTTGCTCTTTCTTTTGTGCATCACCCAGTGAACTCGCTGCAAGAACCCTGCAGCATTCAGGTCCGGATTTCCATCCGTAACAAAGAGGCAGCACCTGTCTTCTTTTTCAGAAAGCGCGGAGGGCAAGAAAGGAGGACGAAATCCGTGCGCCGCCTCCCTGCTCTCTCTCTCCCCTTCTCCTTGGCCGAAAGCAGACGGAAAGAGGCGGAAGGTGATGCAGACAGAGGAGAAAAATCTTGGAGCTTGAGGGCACCTCTGCAGCAGCACTGATTACAATTGAACATCTGAAAAGCCATTGTTTCGGCCTCAGGAATCCCGGGATCTGCCCCGGCGGTGCGTCTGCGCCGAGTCCCGCCTTGAAGTCTGGCGACCGGTCGCTTTCTGCCCCCACCAGCGTCGGCCTATTGGAAAAGCATCCCCTTGGTCTCCTCCACCCTCCGTTTTCCTCCCACCCCTTGATTCTCTCTCACTCTGCGGGAGTGTACAGTATTATCTTTTGGGAGGTCAGCCTTTCTTTGCTCGCAGCTCAATTTTGGATGTTTGCGGAGTAGAGTTCATGCTAAGCGCCGACAGGATGGATGAGTTTCAGAGTGAGGAGGAGGAACCGTGGTATGACCAGCAAGACTTGGAACAAGGTAAGGAAATGTAAAAACACAAGCACCCCAGCGAGGGTTGCACTTCACACAGGGGACGGCCTGAATTATGACCCAGCAGGTCCGGACAAGAGCAGAAGGAAGCTAGATTTTTAAAAAGCTTATCTCTTTTTCTGGAAGCCCTCTTTTGCAGCATCTCACGGGGAGTTTAAAGTCATCAAATTGCACGTGTAGCCGTTCACAGTGTGCCCTGGGGACAATTTCAAATTAAAATGCCTCTGTAGACCCAGAGGAAGATTTGCTTTCCACTTGTTACTCTGTTAGGCTAAAACTGACTTAGATTTCTAGGGCTCATAGAGTTTATCCCCTGCAGAAACTCTTAAAACACTTGGGTGGTTTATGTCCAATTAGCTTACTCATCCTGCTAAATTTACTTCGTTTCAGTGGAGTCAATTGTAGACTGTTGTAAATCAGAGATATCTAACCAAGAATAATCCGATTTTCAATTGCAAATAATCCAACAGTATGTGATCCAACATTTTAAAAAGAGATAATTTGTAAAACGCAGCAAAATGTTACATTGTGTGCTTCCAGCAGTATTTTTCAATGAGTCACAGCAAATTCTGCACATCATTTTGCTGAGACATAAAAGTTTCCCAATTTGGGGTACGTCACATGGAATTTGAAAATAAGTATTTAGACTTTAACTTTTTGCAGCATTACTAAATTCTGGTTTGGTATTTATCTAATTCATATTAGATACCATTATTATTATGGTTGGATGCACACTCAGCCAGATGTTTAAAATGTTTGGCATTTTTATAGACCTATCTAGTCCTTAAGGGCTTGGGATAGGCAGATGTTGTTTGACAGTAATAAAAGTATCATCTTAGTATTATTATTATTATATTTCCTAGAGGACTCTTTAGGTAAAAATTGTTTAAAATATTGATAAGAAATTAAATACATTTTTAATCAAGTGCTGTATGCTGCCCAGAGTAACTTTCATGTGAGATGGACATCTATACAAATTAAATAAATAAATAAACAAACTGGTTTAACTTTGTATTAATTGCTGATAAGTTGTCTTTATTATAGAGAAAGGTCATAGTTTAGGACTTTTGGGTCACACTAATTTAAGCATATCCTAAACTTTTCTACCAAAACATTGAGTCTTAAATATAGTCCAATTATGATCTTATTTGTTCCATGTTGTTTGCATACATTCGAGATCCTAAAAGGAAAGATAAAATTTTATCCGCCGTGTGTGTGTGTGTGTGTGTGTGTGTGTGTGTGTGTGTGTATGAATGCAGGTTGGTCTGTTTCTTCAACCAGCAACAGTAAATCTGTTCTACAACAGTAAGACCACCAAGGATTTTGCTTGATGACAATGAATGGAAACTTTTGCAGTACCATGCTCTAATAATTCTGCATTATACTTTGAATGAGAAGTAAGATTGTGTTTTTATGGTACTATTTGGACAGCTAGCGCATCTTTAAATGTCAAAGTTAATATGTACTGAGCTATAGCTAAAGTGGTTTAAGATGGAATATGCCAACTGCAGCCTTAGTGCAAGGTCAGATACACAGGTTTACACTATATCTTGCAGGAGTATCATGGCAGCACATCAGGTTGATAAACTGTAAAAATTAATGACAAACAGGTTTCAAAAAAGTGTTAATAGTAAGTACTAGAAATACAAATAAGTTCCTTAAAGTCAGTCTCAGTTTCTTGGTGACTTCATGGAAATGTTCATAAACATTATTGAAAACAACATGGAAGTATTTTACAAACAGTTTTTTCCCAGGATTTTCATTTTATGGTCTAATCTACAGGCTTGATTATGTTCCAATGGTCTGCTAAGCAACTGTGAGGCAGGAACAATTTTGCGTAACTTTTTGATATCAGCCAAAGAACCAATGCAGAAAAACTGTTGGGATTACATGGTATGATTTCATGATGCACAAAGCTGTCATGTATTAAGACTATTGCACTACATGGAGCTGCATTGAACCTAGCTAAGACTCTGAAACATTGATACTCTTTGTAGTGTTGTCATTTTTGGTGGGGAGGTGTGGAGAGTGGTATGATGCAATATGGCTATTAGATATGTAGTATAAAGGGAGTCTAGTTGCTTTTTCTTTATGAAGGAAAAGCAAAATTTGGCAGGTTCTTTGCTCTTCAGATTAAATGCTTTCACTGCTAAAAGCAAAAAACTTTAAGAACAATGGTTGTTTTGTGAATTCATCTGTGAAGGATATATTACTGCTGCTTTCCTAGTTCAGTTAATGATTTGTAGAATATAAATGTTTTTCATAAGTAACAGTATTTTAATTAGAAGCTAACCTAAAGGGCTACATATACTAACCACCCCTTATTGTAGTGAATTATATCTGGTGCCAAAAGTATATAATATTTACAGTATGACACTTGTTTGCATTTTCTTTGTTTCTTAAGCTACTGTAGTTTGAATATTCTTATGATTGTCCCAATGAGTTAGATTACATGTAATACCAATCTTTATGCTACGTTTTATTTTTCTGCTTTCATTAACTGTATTCTTTTCCTAAAAGTATTTGGTATACACTTACTTTCCTCTTGATTTTTCCTTGTAGCTGACTGGACAGTTAAAAATTTGATATGAAAAAAATAAATTAACTTATAATTTGATAGTTGATACAAAAAAAGCAGAAGACTGCAGTTTCATCTTATAATTTCAGTTCTGTCAGTCATAATAATGAAAACATTTCTGTCTCAAGCTCTTGAAAGGTTAGATGGATGGTATCATACAAAAAACCTTTCCCAAATAGATGTCCTTCAAATGTGTTGTAATGTGATTTGCATTATCTCCAGCTAGCAGGGTCAAAAAATTCTGTAGGTTCTAAGTTTGGAAGAAATTGCATTTAATGTAATTCCAATACAGTTCCACAAAGCCTTTGAGCTAACCTCCAAAAGATATTGCTCTAAAAGATATCTTTAATACAAGAGGGAGAGGATATTACATAAGAAGAAATCCCATGAACTGTCTGAATTAACTATAGTCAACAGCAAAATATCATGAGAGATGAAACCATTCGGAATAAGAATCGTTTTCTGGGGCTTTCCCCAGTTTTTAAGTTCTCTGATTTTGCAGATGTGTATTCCATAGACAATATTACTCATTGATTTTTAGGCAATGGACATGTGAACTAATTCTTTGCATAGGATTAGATTCTTTTCAGATTTAAATCTAGTGAATACTGGTAATGAAGGATCAACAAAAATGGGCTTACCGTATTTTGTTTCTACCAGTAAAAACCTCCCTTTTCTTTATACTGTTCTTCCTTCATTGTTAAAAAGCAGCTGGAGGCAGTGCTGTAACAGCAGATTTAAACAGTACCAATAATTATTTGTTGAGTCTTGACTGTACAGTAAATGCACCCAGTAAATGCATCCATCCACAAACAACAGCCTGTAGGAAAAAATAGTTTGTTGAAATGTGTATTTTCATACATGTATGTATTTGCTTTAATCATTCCTCCCATTCCTATTTGCTGAAGAAAGGCATTCTGGGATCAAAGTATTGCTCCTTGCTCTTTTCAGGAAGTACTATGATTAGAATGCATGAACAGGGGAAGAACTACGGAGGGAAGTGGCGACAGTGAGCTGTGTTTCTGTCAGCCGGAAGATGATGATGTGGCTCTTTTGACATAATCCAGCAGCTTTTCCAAGGAATGTTTGCTAAGAGTTGTCAAGGGAGAAGAGAATTAGGAAATTTAACTGTGAAGAATCAAAGAACATTTTCTAAACCTTTGCTTCTTGCCTGCTTCACAATGCCTCTTTAAACTGAATTGCAGTTGGATGCCAAAAAAAACCCCACTTGGCTCTTGCTAGGATTTGATAGTTGTGTTCAAGAACATGACACACACATCTCCTTTTGTAATCTATTTCTATATATTGCATCCCGCTCAGTGCCAGCCACTTTTGAAGACTTGGTGTGCTTTGTTTCCCAATCAATTCTCATAGCAACCTTGTGGAGTGGATTAGGCTGGCACAAAACAATTGTTCTAGATTTACCAGGACAACATATTTTAATTTCTTATCATTTCTTACACATAATTACATAGATTAATTACCACAGTCTAAATAAGATCTGCACAACATACAGCCACACCAAGCAGTTTTATACGGCCAGCCAGTATTTCTTCAAAACCCAATAAACCCATTGTCACCAAAATTAATTGCGTTGTGGAAAAAAAAATCTGAAGGCTCTGAATTATTTTTCTATCTTTTTTCTCCAGGATGTTTTTGTTTCATTTGCTGAAAATAGAAATATTTTGAAAGAGTAAACAAAAATCCCCACCAATGAAATACCTTATTTTGGAATAATAAATACCATAAAACTAAATTACATATATGCTACTTTTCTCCCAGATATTTTCTATTCATTTGTAATAGGAAAAAATTTAACTGACTATCCAGGTCCTCCTGTCCTGTACATGAGGGAGAAGTAGGGCAGTGCTCCTCTCCAGCGCAAGAGTCAGGTACATTTCTGTGCAACCAGCTTGGGGAAGAAAATTTCCAAAGAAAGAATTTAGTCACTGATTTGCTTATGACTTTGTCTAGTGCAGTGGTTCTCAACCTGTGTGTCGGGACCCCATTTGGGGTCAAACGACCATTTCACAGGGGTCGCCAAACAACGCAGTCCGCCATTTTTTTCCCATTTTCCTTAGCTGTGCTACTCCCTTTTATTCTATTGGCTTTTGAAAGCCAATAGAATAGACTCTCTTGAATAGTGTTTAATTCTATTGGCTTTCAAAAGCCAATAGGAATTGTCCAGGCTGTCTCTGCCCTGCTGAGCCTGCCAAAAGTCCCATTCTGCAAACGGTGCTGTACCAGTTGAGTAGTCCTCGACTTACAACTGGTTGAGTAGTCCTCGACTTAACGACCGGTTGAGGGTCGCGGCATTAAAAAGGTTGAGAACCACTGGTCTAGTGCTTATGCAAAATCCAGAGCACTTCTTCTAAATAACTTTTGATTTGTGCCCATCCTGTTCCACAAGCTTATCATTTTGGTTAACTCTGCCCTTCAGCTTATTGGGCCTAGCTTTCCACTGGTGTTTCCCTGGGGTAATTATATTTTTAGTAAACACACTTGTGCAGATACTGGCCATTGCTTTTTAGTTGCTGAAATTCATATTGTTGCTTAAATGATTGTCTCCCAATTTGATGCCTTGATGTGATGGAGCAGATTCAATGATTCCTACCTGAGAAGTATGAATGTTGAATTCTTAATCAGAATCACGCGAAATATTAGTACTGCTTTATAAAGCCTTAGTAAGATTACACCTGGAATATGGCATCCAGTTTTGGTTACCACATTACAGAAAAGATGATGAGACTTTGGAAAAAGTACAAAGAAGAGCAACTAAGATGATTAAAGGCCTGGAGACTAAAACATGAAGAACGGTTGCAGGATTTGGGTTTGGCTAGTCTAGAGAAAAGAAGGACTAGAGGGCAACATGATAGCAATATTCCAGTATTTGAGAGGCTGCCGCAAAGAGGAGAGGGTCAGTTTATTTTCCAAAGCACCAGAGGGCAGGACAAGAAACAGCAGATGGAAACTAATGAAGGAGAGAAGCAACCTAGAATTAAGGAGAAACTTTCTAATGGTGAGGACAATTAGCCAGCTTGCCTTCAGACGTTGTGGGTGCTTCATTACTGGAGATTTTTAAGAAGAGACTGGACAGTCACGTGTTTGAAATGGTATAGGATCTCCTGCTTGAGCAGAGGACTGGACTAGAACAGGGATCCCCAACCCCCAGTCCGTGGACAGGCGCCGGGCCGAGGCATGCCACAAACCGTGCAAACAAAGCGCTATTTGCAGGATGTAGGCAGTACATGAAACCACACCCCCTCCGGTCTGCAGAAAAACCTCTCTACGGAACCTGTCCCTGATGCTCAAAAGGTTGGGGACGTCTGGACTGGAAGATCTTCAAGGTCCCTTCCAGCTCTATTCTGATTTTTGATCTGTGTTTTCATTTTAAGTTGTGTGAAGCCATATTTTCTTCCACGAAACAGCCTTTAGATGAATGCAAAATCTTTCAAATTAAAAATGCTTCAAGCTTGAAATGGACTATTCTGACATCACAGACACAATTCAGAAGTGATTCCAAGGTCAGCAAAAGTTTTTCAGTCTTGAAATGGACCCATATTAAAATTAATTGGTTTGTTTAATTTGCTATGGCTTTAAGCCTATTGAAAGATTTGCAGACTTAAAAAACTGTTTTGAAAAGAGCAGGAATTTAACACCTCTGGATTGTTATTGGATTTTAGTGATAAGTGTTCAGGGGAGTGCTACTTGCCATTCCTAAATATTTCTACTGCTCAAATCTATGGATCACATTGTCTGATTGTAAATAAAGCAAGTGCTTTTTTTGTTAAAAAAAAAAAAAAAGTGCCGGAACTCACACATGTTATACAACCCGCCTTGCCTACCCTATAAGGTTCCATCCAAAAAAAGTGCCGGAACTCCATTCTGGGCGTTCTATGACAAAAAAAAGCCCTGAATAAAGGTATGGTGAAGTAGCAGCATGAAATCTTGTTGACATAGCCTTAAATCACAAATGTATTGGTGATTCTAGAAAATTAATGTTAGTCTATTGTTACAAAGACTACTGGGAGTTTATTATGCATTCAAAGTAGATTAAACATTTTTTTTCCAACTGAAAAAGCTTGTAGAATAAACCAGAAGCAGAAGTTAAAAAGCTAGACTACTTCGCTTGAAAAAAAAAATTTCAGAAAAGTATGTTATTGGAGGTAAGGATTTCCTTACTCCTGGGTTAGTAAGGCCAAAATAAAGACTCTAATCTCTAATTAACAGGTATGGGGAACTGAAGTAAGAAAGATGTGAAGCAGTATTGGATTATGTATCATCTCAGTTTTATGCTTGGAACTCTGCTCATCACACATATGGTACTAATCAAAATAAACTTAAAATGTTAATCAACACAAGAAAAATTATTAGTAATAGAGATTTCAAAGAAGGTACAAAAACAGTATTAGAAAAATTTCTTACTAGAGCTCAGCATTAATGAAAATACTTTTATGAAGATCCTTTTGCAGCCTTTCTACATTTTTAGGATAATAAGAATCAGTTCTAAGAAAGTGGAAAGCCTGTTAAAGCAAAGAGGCTACTGGGTTTCAATATTTTAAATTTTCTCTTTGGAAACTTAATTTAATGACAAAATTATGAACACAGTTTAGGGTTATGAAGGATTTTATGTTATGCATTGAACATGCATTTTTTTTTATCCCATTAGCTAGGATGCAGAGGAAATGATTTCCTAAGACTTCTTTACCATTAATGGAAGATTGCTCATGATCAGATATAATTGATATTGGTTAAACTACAGAACCTATCATTGGCCCTGGAGGTGGGTTAGGGTCTCTCAGCCAAATCAGTAATAGTATTATATAATATGAGAGGCAGTGATCATTAAATGTATAGCAACTGAATAAATTATAATGAAAGGTATGGAGGAAAGCCACTTTCTACTCATCAGATTTGTTCTAGAGCAGTGTTTCTCAACCTTGACAATTTTAAGGCATGTGGACTTCAACTCCCAGAATTCCACAGCCAGCAATGCTGGCTCGGAATTCTGGGAGTTGAAGTCCACATGCTTTAAAATTGTCAAGGTTGAGAAACACTGTTCTAGAGAACAGAAGTGCTTAAAGATAATAAAGAGTACAGAAAAAGAACCCTATCTTTGTTTAAGTCATTAAAAGAGATAGTATTTGATTTACAAATGATAGAACGGTGAGATAATAAATTTGTAAAATGTATATTAAATCTGGGAGGGAAAGCAAAGGGGACAAAATGGCTGTTTGATTACACACTAAAAACACAAGAAAGCTGAAAAGCAAAAGGCACAGGAAAGGAGACATAACTAAAAAAGTAATGTAAATAAATTGAGAACAATCAAATGGGAAGGAAAAGAGATTTTTAAAAGGAAAATTAAAGAAATGATACCTAGTGGGTTATGAATTTGCAAGGCAACCAAACTATTGAATTTTGTCATAACAACTTTCCTTCTCTCTATATTTCGGTATATTTTTGTTTGTCTTCTTTTTAATGATGTCACAGATTTCAATCTAATCATTAATTCTGTTCATTATATTTGCCACGTTATCAGACGTGGTATCACTGAGTTATACTTTGTAGCTTTGGTTATTTTATTTGCTTTGTTAAGTTTGCTTTTTTTCAAAACAGTTATATTTAGCCCTAAGTCTGGTTTTTGACCAAATAGCGATTCTGCATCTTTGCTTGAACAATGCATACTACATTTTGATTTAGTTGTTATACATCCATTGATCTCCATGTGTATAGACATCAATTACTGCTGGAAGAGGGCATTTGCTATAAATACTGATTTTTCTAGACAGAATGCTATTAGCCTGTCTCCTGATTTCA